TTCTGGGACTTTTGGTAGGCCCCGTATCCTCAGATTATTTCTTCCCTCTCTATTCTCTTGATCCTCTAATTTATATGATAGTTTCTTCTGTTCCTTTTTAATCTCTTCTACCTGTAGTTCCAATTTACTAATCTGCTGGGCCTGAGTTTCCATTTTCCCTTCTACTTCTTCCACTCTTGTTACATTCATCCCAGGTCATTGTGAATCACCTTTATTTAATTTTTCATGAATAGTTCCAGTTTTGCTAACATTTCCGCCTTCTCGGTTTTGGTGGGAATTTGAGATATAGTTTCCTGTTGATCCGCTATTTTGTGCTCTTTTACGTTGTCAGGATTTATGGATTCATTAGTCGAATTTCCATCCCGCATTCCGAATGACAGGCTGGTTTGATCCCTGTCATGCATTCTCCTTCCTTCCTGTTGTTTCTCAGATCCTTGTTTCTCTGGACTTTATGCCTGTATTGGCATATATTTCTTAATTGTACTCACGTTCAGGTGCGGGGTTTTTACCCCTCCTACCTTAGCGGATCTACTCCTCATATTAAATGAACTAATTATTAATTGTCTGTTTACTGCTCACAAGTGATATTATTGAAGCTATGAAAGGCCCGTACACAGTCCCGTATAAATTTAGGTGAGAATATGATGTTAGTATTTAGCCCCTGAGAACACCCCGCACCTTAATCTTCTGGCCATCCGGTCCCACTTCACATATTTATATTATACTTATAGCATGTACAGAACAATAATAATGAAAAACATTGTACCATTATCCACGGCAACTCACTGACACCATTCGCACCTGGATCACTGGTTCCATCTTCTGTATGTACTCTCCTGTCTCTTTCGTGAATTTTTGGCCCTTGGCCCTGCATATAGAGTCACCTTGTGGGGGGACCAGGGTGGGAGTTCAGTCAATCATAAAAATACTGAAATTGCGGGTGCCTCTGGGTCTCACGCTTCCTCTGGAGCAGAACACTGATCCCTCCTGGGATCTCTCCTATATCAATCCTCCCTAGGGATTCCTCCCTCCTCTTCACTCCAATACTTCACTGGTCTCCAGTGACAAGCACCGTATTCCTCCAAGAGCTCCAGGACTGATTCCCGTCTCTCCAACCATACAGCTTCTCAGAGAGTACTCTTCACTAGCAGCCTCCCAGCCAGCCTCTTAGCCACACATCTCTGCCTCACTTTCGCCACAGGTGCCTCTCACAGCCCCGGCGCGATCCGGAGATGTTCCCCAGCACTGGCACCTCGAGCACACCACTCCGCCCGAGCCGGCAGGACAAGGCAGTCCCAGACACTTCTCCTGAGACCAGGAGCGGGAACACAGCGGGACAAGGCTCTGCGGGCACTCCCAATATCACGGGCCATCAGGGTAGGTCCGGTTGTGGGGTGTCAGGTGGTCTCAGCAAGGCAGCCTTCATAGTGTAGACATCTGGAGCTCCTTCTCCTTCCATACTCAGAGCTCCATGTTCCTAACACATTTCCTTTTAGAACTGGATAAAACACCTCTAGAAAATTTGTGTAATATATATAAGCCCAAACCTCAAATTATAGTACCACTGCAATTAGAGATGAGCGAATTATTCAAAAATTAGATTCGGCTGATTCGCCGAATTCGCGGAATAAATTCGATTCGAGGCGAATATATTCGCTGCGAATTTAACTTATAAAAAGGGTGTTTCTAGGCTTCAGAGAGCCTTTATATTAGTGCAGAACACTGTACCTTTAATTTAAATGCCCTTGGAGTCTGCTGGGGAAGAGAACTAATACTGTCAGTCAGTATGACATGCAGATGAGTGCCGTCGATCTTAGAATCACCGCACACTTCACTCATTTGGGCAGTCACGGGGCCAAAACCAGAGTGTGGAGCCACAGTGTGGCGGTGGAGGCAGCAGCAATGGGAGGCCATACAGCACCCTATGACAAAATGGAACCCACCAGCAGTGTGAGGAGACCTGAAAGTGGCACATGGCAGAGTGTGGCGATGGAGACAGCAGCAATGGGAGGCCGTACAGGGACCCATGACACACTCTGGACCTGGCAGCAGCATGAGGAGGCGGTACAGGGGCCCATGATAGATTACGGGCCTGGCAGCAGCAGTGGGCGGGCGGTGGATGCAGCAGTATTCGGAAGCCAAACACAGGCCTCGGTTAAAAAGCGGAAGCCGTCAGCAGCGTGAGCAGACGACAGAGGAACATGGCACAGGGTGGCGGTGGAGGCAGCAGTATTCGGAAGCCATACACAGGCTTAGGTTAAAAAGCGGAAGCCGTCAGCAGCGTGAGCAGACAACAGAGACACATGGCGCAGAGTGGCGGTGGATGCAGCAGTATTCGGAAGCCAAACACAGGCCTCGGTTAAAAAGCGGAAGCCGTCAGCAGCGTGAGCAGACGACAGAGGCACATGGCGCAGGGTGGCGGTGGAGGCAGCAGCAATGGAAGGCCATACAGCACCCTATCACAAAATGGAACCCACCAACAGTGTAAGGAGACCTGAAAGTGGCACATGGCGCAGGGTGGCGGTGGAGGCAGCAGTATTCGGAAGACATACACAGGACTAGTTTAAAAAGCGGAAGCCGTCAGCAGCGTGAGCAGACGACAGAGGCACATGGCGCAGGGTGGCGGTGGAGGCAGCAGTATTCGGAAGCCATACACAGGCCTAGGTTAAAAAGCGGGAAGCCGTCAGCAGCGTGAGCAGACGACAGAGGCACATGGCGCAGGGTGACGGTGGAGGCAGCAGTATTCGGAAGCCATACACAGGCCTAGGTTAAAAAGCGGAAGCCGTCAGCAGCGTGAGCAGACGACAGAGACACATGGCGCAGGGTGACGGTGGAGGCAGCAGTATTCGGAAGCCATACACAGGCCTAGGTTAAAAAGTGGAAGCCGTCAGCAGCGTGAGCAGACGACAGAGACACATGGCGCAGGGTGGCGGTGGAGGCAGCAGTATTCGGAAGCCATACACAGGTCTAGGTTAAAAAGCGGAAGCCGTCAGCAGCGTGAGCAGACGACAGAGGCACATGGCGCAGGGTGGCGGTGGATGCAGCAGTATTCGGAAGCCAAACACAGGCCTCGGTTAAAAAGCGGAAGCCGTCAGCAGCGTGAGCAGACGACAGAGGCACATGGCGCAGGGTGGCGGTGGAGGCAGCAGCAATGGAAGGCCATACAGCACCCTATCACAAAATGGAACCCACCAACAGTGTAAGGAGACCTGAAAGTGGCACATGGCGCAGGGTGGCGGTGGAGGCAGCAGTATTCGGAAGCCATACACAGGCCTAGGTTAAAAAGCGGAAGCCGTCAGCAGCGTGAGCAGACGACAGAGACACATGGTGCAGGGTGGCGGTGGATGCAGCAGTATTCGGAAGCCAAACACAGGCCTCGGTTAAAAAGCGGAAGCCGTCAGCAGCGTGAGCAGACGACAGAGGCACATGGCGCAGGGTGGCGGTGGAGGCAGCAGCAATGGAAGGTCATACAGCACCCTATCACAAAATGGAACCCACCAACAGTGTAAGGAGACCTGAAAGTGGCACATGGCAGAGTCTGGCGATGAAGTCAGCAGCAATGGGAGGCCGTACAGGGACCCATGACACACACTCTGGACCTGGCAGCAGCAAGAGGAGGCGGTACAGGGGCCCATGGCAGAGTGGCGAAGCGTAAGCAGCTTAAATTGAAGGCCATACAGAGGCCTATGTTAAAAATAATAACATGTTTGGGGCATGATTCATGGCGGATTTAGTCAGTTGTGTCAGGAACTGGTGGTTTGAAATCCAGCAGCGTGAGCAGACGACAGAGGCACATGGCGCAGGGTGGCGGTGGAGGCAGCAGCAATGGAAGGCCATACAGCACCCTATCACAAAATGGAACCCACCAACAGTGTAAGGAGACCTGAAAGTGGCACATGGCGCAGGGTGGCGGTGGAGGCAGCAGTATTCGGAAGACATACACAGGACTAGTTTAAAAAGCTGAAGCCGTCAGCAGCGTGAGCAGACGACAGAGGCACATGGCGCAGGGTGGCGGTGGAGGCAGCAGTATTCGGAAGCCATACACAGGCCTAGGTTAAAAAGCGGAAGCCGTCAGCAGCGTGAGCAGACGACAGAGGCACATGGCGCAGGGTGACGGTGGAGGCAGCAGTATTCGGAAGCCATACACAGGCCTAGGTTAAAAAGCGGAAGCCGTCAGCAGCGTGAGCAGACGACAGAGACACATGGCGCAGGGTGGCGGTGGAGGCAGCAGTATTCGGAAGCCATACACAGGTCTAGGTTAAAAAGCGGAAGCCGTCAGCAGCGTGAGCAGACGACAGAGGCACATGGCGCAGGGTGGCGGTGGATGCAGCAGTATTCGGAAGCCAAACACAGGCCTCGGTTAAAAAGCACCCTATCACAGCGTGAGCAGACGACAGAGGCACATGGCGCAGGGTGGCGGTGGAGGCAGCAGCAATGAAGGCCATACAGCACCCTATCACAAAATGGAAGGCCATACAGCACCCTATCACAGCAATGGAAGGCCATACAGCACCCTATCACAAAATGGAACCCACCAACAGTGTAAGGAGACCTGAAAGTGGCACATGGCGCAGGGTGGCGGTGGAGGCAGCAGTATTCGGAAGCCATACACAGGCCTAGGTTAAAAAGCGAAGCCGTCAGCAGCGTGAGCAGACGACAGAGACACATGGCGCAGGGTGGCGGTGGATGCAGCAGTATTCGGAAGCCAAACACAGGCCTCGGTTAAAAAGCGGAAGCCGTCAGCAGCGTGAGCAGACGACAGAGGCACATGGCGCAGGGTGGCGGTGGAGGCAGCAGCAATGGAAGGTCATACAGCACCCTATCACAAAATGGAACCCACCAACAGTGTAAGGAGACCTGAAAGTGGCACATGGCAGAGTCTGGCGATGAAGTCAGCAGCAATGGGAGGCCGTACAGGGACCCATGACACACTCTGGACCTGGCAGCAGCAAGAGGAGGCGGTACAGGGGCCCATGGCAGAGTGGCGAAGCGTAAGCAGCTTAAATTGAAGGCCATACAGAGGCCTATGTTAAAAATAATAACATGTTTGGGGCATGATTCATGGCGGATTTAGTCAGTTGTGTCAGGAACTGGTGGTTTGAAATCCAGCAGCGTGAGCAGACGACAGAGGCACATGGCGCAGGGTGGCGGTGGAGGCAGCAGCAATGGAAGGCCATACAGCACCCTATCACAAAATGGAACCCACCAACAGTGTAAGGAGACCTGAAAGTGGCACATGGCGCAGGGTGGCGGTGGAGGCAGCAGTATTCGGAAGACATACACAGGACTAGTTTAAAAAGCGGAAGCCGTCAGCAGCGTGAGCAGACGACAGAGGCACATGGCGCAGGGTGGCGGTGGAGGCAGCAGTATTCGGAAGCCATACACAGGCCTAGGTTAAAAAGCGGAAGCCGTCAGCAGCGTGAGCAGACGACAGAGACACATGGCGCAGGGTGACGGTGGAGGCAGCAGTATTCGGAAGCCATACACAGGCCTAGGTTAAAAAGCGGAAGCCGTCAGCAGCGTGAGCAGACGACAGAGACACATGGCGCAGGGTGGCGGTGGAGGCAGCAGTATTCGGAAGCCATACACAGGTCTAGGTTAAAAAGCGGAAGCCGTCAGCAGCGTGAGCAGACGACAGAGGCACATGGCGCAGGGTGGCGGTGGATGCAGCAGTATTCGGAAGCCAAACACAGGCCTCGGTTAAAAAAGCGGAAGCCGTCAGCAGCGTGAGCAGACGACAGAGGCACATGGCGCAGGGTGGCGGTGGAGGCAGCAGCAATGGAAGGCCATACAGCACCCTATCACAAAATGGAACCCACCAACAGTGTAAGGAGACCTGAAAGTGGCACATGGCGCAGGGTGGCGGTGGAGGCAGCAGTATTCGGAAGCCATACACAGGCCTAGGTTAAAAAGCGGAAGCCGTCAGCAGCGTGAGCAGACGACAGAGACACATGGCGCAGGGTGGCGGTGGATGCAGCAGTATTCGGAAGCCAAACACAGGCCTCGGTTAAAAAGCGGAAGCCGTCAGCAGCGTGAGCAGACGACAGAGGCACATGGCGCAGGGTGGCGGTGGAGGCAGCAGCAATGGAAGGTCATACAGCACTCTATCACAAAATGGAACCCACCAACAGTGTAAGGAGACCTGAAAGTGGCACATGGCAGAGTCTGGCGATGAAGTTCAGCAGCAATGGGAGGCCGTACAGGGACCCATGACACACTCTGGACCTGGCAGCAGCAAGAGGAGGCGGTACAGGGGCCCATGGCAGAGTGGCGAAGCGTAAGCAGCTTAAATTGAAGGCCATACAGAGGCCTATGTTAAAAATAATAACATGTTTGGGGCATGATTCATGGCGGATTTAGTCAGTTGTGTCAGGAACTGGTGGTTTGAAATCCAGACTAATCCACGCCTGATTCATTTTCACAAACGTGAATCTCTCCACACTTTGGGTGGACAGTCGTGTCCTCCGCGGAGTTACAATACCTCCTGCCGCACTAAACACGCGCTCCGATGCCACGCTACTGGCCGGCATGACAGCCTTTCAAGGGCAAATTCAGCTAGTTGGGGCCAAAGGTCAAGTTTTGTTTGCCCAGTAGTCAAGGGGATTGTCTACCTCGGTTGGCAGGGTGCTGTCCAAGTAGGCCTGAGCCTGTTGTTTGAGGTCCTGCTCCAGGTCCACCTGATGCTGCTGCTGCTGCGGCTGGTTAGTAGTTTCCTGGTGAAGAAAGCTACTCATCATTGACTGCAGACTGAGGCAGCCGCTGCTGGTGGAGCTGCCACTGCTCCTACCACCCCACCCCTCCCCTGCTGCCATGGCAGCGGAACGCGAGCGCACAGGGCCCACAGTGTCTGAGGATGGACATTGGCGCAGAAAGGCAGAGACCAACTGACTACATAGGTGGTTTTTATAGTACTTTATTTTGGCCTCCCTCTCAGCAGGTGTGAAAAAGGCCACCATTTTTGAACGGTAGCGAGGGTCCAACAAGGTGGACAGCCAAAAGTCATCCCTCTGTCTGATGGTTATTTATTCGGCTGTCGCTACGCAAGCAACCGAGCATGCTATGGGCCATTTGTGCCAAGGAATGCGAGGGACTCCCTGCCTCCATCTCCACAGCATACTGCCACGGTGCGTCTGGGTCCTCTGTCTCCTCCTCCTCTACCAGATGCTCCTGCTCCTCCACCCTGTCCGCTGAGTGGAAAAACCACCCATTTCACTCAATAATTCCTGAGCACCAATGTCCTCCTCTACCTCCTCCTCTTCTTCCTGTCCTGCCCCCACAGGGGTCATGTGGCGGTGAGATCTGTGCGCCACGTCTACCGCACCCTGACCAGCCATTGTTAACAGCATTTGTTCCAGGACGTGCAACAGAGGAATGACGTCGTTCATCCCATAGTCCTGCCGACTCACGAATACCGTGGCCTCCTCAAAGGGCCTCAGCAAGCGGCAGGTGTCACGCATGAGCTGCCAATGGCTGACATCTAAGTTACACAGGGGAGTACCTTTATCCGCTTGTAACATCAGGAAATCGGTGATGGCCTTTCGCTGTTCGTAAAGGCGGTCTAACATATGTAGGGTTGAATTCCACCTTGTTGCAACGTCGCAGATCAGGCGATGCTGTGGAATTCCGTTCTGCCGCTGCAGCTCAAGGAGGGTGTGCTTTTGCGGTGTAGGAATGGCTGAAATGCATGCAAAGTTTACGTGACATTTTAAGGATGTCTTGCAGTGGGATGGTGGATTTTAGGAACCGCTTGACAACCAGATTGAACACGTGAGCCATGCATGGCGCATGGCACAACCTTCCTTGACGCAGAGCAGACACCATGTTCTTTCCGTTGTCGGTCAACATGGTTCCGATTTTCAGTTTGCGCGGAGACAGCCATCTGTCGATTTCTCTGTTCATTACACTCAGAAGTTCCTCCCCTGTGTGACTACGTTCGCCAAGGCATACCAGGTGCAGCACAGTGTGACACCGTTGCGCCCTGCACATGTGATATGCCGGTCGGGTAATGGGACTTGGCACGGGGGTGGCGGCTGAGGACACGGCGGAAGAAGAGGTGGTAGAGGCGGACATCTTTTGTGGACCAAGGACGTGCAAACGTGGAGGCAAAAGCGGCGTGACCTGTCCAAGTTGCTGGTGCGGCTGTGCCGGCACCACATTCACCCAGTGGGCCGTAAATGACATGTACTGTCCCTGACCGTAGTTACAGCTCCACACGTCGGCGCTGCCGTGCACTTTGGCAGAGACCGACATGCTCAAAGACTGGCCCACCATCTCTTCTACATGTGAATGCAGGGCTGGCACTGCCTTTTTGGCGAAGAAATGCCGGCTTGGCACTCTCCACCGCGGCTCGGCACAAGCCATCATTTCTCGGAAAGGTGCTGAGTCCACCACTTGGGAAGGGAGGGACTGCAGCACCAGCAACTTGGACAGGAGGACGTTCAGCTTCTGCACCGTCGGGTGCGTGCTCGCAAACTGTTGTCTCTTGGAAACGGATTCCAAGAAAGACTGCTGACGGAATCCGTGAAGAGGAGTAGCAGGAGAAGGAGCATCTGAACGAGCGGAAGATGCCAACGAGCAACAACTCCCCTCAGCAGAGGTGTTGGAGCCTTGACTGGCTGATAGAGGGCGATTGACGTTGGGTGACGGAGCAAGTAACGGAGCGGGTGATGGAGCGGGGGCTGGGGCAGGCAGAACCGCCGTATCTTTATCACGGTTTTCCCAGGCCACCGAATGGCGACGCTGCATATGCTGACGCAACGCTGTAGTCCCAACATGGGCCCCCTGGCCACGCTTGACTTTCTGGCCACATAGTCGACATACGGCTACGTTTACTTCCTCGGGCGGCTTGACAAAAAATTGCCACACCGCCGAGTAGGAAACTTTTCCCCCTCTACTCCTCACTGGCTGACTGCTACTTCCTCCGTGCACACCGGCACCACTACTGGCCGTGGTGGTAGGCTGCAGTGGAGCTGGTGCTCTACTCCGTGGCCGTTTGCCTCCACTGACACTGCTGCGACCCTGCTGCCTCCTGGGCAACCCACCGACTGTTTTGCTCGCTGGCAAGCTGGCACCCTCTTCTCCTGATGATGCGGAAGCAATAGCCTGATGACGACGAGGCTGCCAAGTGCGATCAGCCTCATCATCATCAATTAGGGTCTCCGCGTCACTACTAGCCCCCTCGGCTGCGTGTGGGTCAGGAGACAGACCTGTCTCTAGACCGGCTACCGAGCCACTCTCCTCGCCAGTACTTCTTCGCCTGGCTGCTGAAGAGGCGGATGTCTCCCCCCGTTCCTGACCGCCCTCTGTTAGCTCTTCCTCACTGTACAGTGGGGCTGAGCCCACAGCATGCGATACTTCGCTTGGTGAGGGAACACCAAAGGACAGGGGCAGGTAGAGGACACGTGATTTCAGTGGGCTTGCTCCCGGGCCATGCCAACTAACGGTTGTGTCTGACGTACCCACCGACCGTTGGCTGTAGGTGTCAGAGGTGACCTGGGAAGAGGAAGACGACCGAGTCAACCAATCGATGACGGCAGGGTTTGTCGGTGGAGACACGACCGCTGGATGACACCGGGAGCACTGGCCTCTGGCTGCGACTAGTGCTGCCTCGACCCCTTCCTCTGCTGCCACGTCTGCTCGCTCCTGAAACATTGCCTCCTCTGCCACTCCTCTGCGTGTTGTCTGACATACTCTTTAATTCAATAAGCACCCCAAACATAAAACAGGATTAACTCTTTGAACGTACAATAGTGGTTGTGAAGCAGAAAGTAACGATTCTGTGTCCCTGAGTAACAATTCTGTGTCCCTGAGTAACGATTCTGTGTCCCTGAGTAACGATTCTGTGTCCCTGAGTAACGATTCTGTGTCCCTCAGTAACGATTCTGTGTCCCTGAGTAACGATTCTGTGTCCCTGAGTAACAATTCTGTGTCCCTCAGTAACGATTCTGTGTCCCTCAGTAACGATTCTGTGTCCCTGAGTAACGATTCTGTGTCCCTGAGTAACAATTCTGTGTCCCTCAGTAACAATTCTGTGTCCCTGAGTAACGATTCTGTGTCCCTGAGTAACATTCTGTGTCCCTGAGTAACAATTCTGTGTCCCCTGAGTAACGATTCTGTGTCCCTGAGTAACGATTCTGTGTCCCTGAGTAACAATTCTGTGTCCCTGAGTAACGATTCTGTGTCTGTCCCTGAGTAACGAATTCTGTGGTCCCTGAGTAACAATTCTGTGTCCCTGAGTAACGATTCTGTGTCCCTGAGTAACGATTCTGTGTCCCTGAGTAACAATTCTGTGTCCCTGAGTAACGATTCTGTGTCCCTGAGTAACAATTCTGTGTCCCTGAGTAACGATTCTGTGTCCCTCAGTAACGATTCTGTGTCCCTGAGTAACGATTCTGTGTCCCTGAGTAACAATTCTGTGTCCCTCAGTAACAATTCTGTGTCCCTGAGTAACGATTCTGTGTCCCTGAGTAACGATTCTGTGTCCCTCAGTAACAATTCTGTGTTCTGTGTCCTGAGTAACGATTCTGTGTCCCTGAGTAACGATTCTGTGTCCCTGAGTAACAATTCTGTGTCCCTGAGTAACAATTCTGTGTCTGTCCCTGAGTAACGATTCTGTGTCCCTGAGTAACGATTCTGTGTCCCTGAGTAACAATTCTGTGTCCCTGAGTAACGATTCTGTGTCCCTGAGTAACGATTCTGTGTCCCTGAGTAACGATTCGTCCCTGAGTAACGATTCTGTGTCCCTCAGTAACGATTCTGTGTCCCTCAGTAACAATTCTGTGTCCCTGAGTAACAATTCTGTGTCCCTGAGTAACGATTCTGTGTCCCTCAGTAACGATTCTGTGTCCCTGAGTAACGATTCTGTGTCCCTGAGTAACGATTCTGTGTCCCTGAGTAACAATTCTGTGTCCCTGAGTAACGATTCTGTGTCCCTGAGTAACGATTCTGTGTCCCTCAGTAACAATTCTGTGTCCCTGAGTAACAATTCTGTGTCCCTGAGTAACGATTCTGTGTCCCTGAGTAACAATTCTGTGTCCCTGAGTAACAATTCTGTGTCCCTCAGTAACGATTCTGTGTCCCTCAGTAACGATTCTGTGTCCCTGAGTAACGATTCTGTGTCCCTGAGTAACAATTCTGTGTCCCTGAGTAACGATTCTGTGTCCCTGAGTAACGATTCTGTGTCCCTCAGTAACAATTCTGTGTCCCTGAGTAACAATTCTGTGTCCCTGAGTAACAATTCTGTGTCCCTGAGTAACGATTCTGTTTCCCTGAGTAACAATTCTGTGTCCCTGAGTAACGATTCTGTGTCCCTGAGTAACGATTCTGTGTCCCTGAGTAACAATTC